CAGCTGAACTGTAAACCAACGGGTTAGAGGGGGCGGAAACCCCAACAGTTAGATATTGCCAATTTGCCATAACCATATACATTCTATAATGTAAGCATGTCTCAAAAGTGTAGAATATTCACCTAAGTCTAATATTTTTTTGTTAATTCCTGAGGTAAATGTTTCAATCAATTTCATACTTCTTTCTGAATCAGCTACAAAAATGTGTCTCTATGTAATTTCTTTAATAATTTATTAGATACATGTAATAAAAGCCATTACAAATACATGAGAAATTAAATTTAAACAAATTCAATGTGGTTAATTTAGACAAAGTAGGAAGCTTGATAACATTATATCCATCATTCAGCAAAATTGGCAATCCCTATTGCCAAACTCGCTTGTTTAAAATATTTAAAAGGGCAATTACCTCTGGCAACTAGAAACTTTTAATGATACATACATACTTACATCTTTTATAGTACTACAAATTAAGTTTCAGAAAATTATACGCAGAAGCAAGATTTTCAAATCATATCCTGCTCATATATGTGTATATATATATATAACATAATTAAATATAAATAATGACTAAAAGAATAAAGAAAATAAACTTACAGAGGTAAGCCTTCTCCTGTTCAGGAGTGAGGTTTGTAGGTAGGACCGTAGGCATGCCTGGTATAAATGTTTTGTCATGTTCACTACCGCTCCATCTAGTTTTCCTCCTCTTCCTACGTTCCTCTTTCGTTTCTTTTTCCTGTTTACCATCACCTAAAACGTATACAAGTTACTCACAGCTCTACATGCTCCACTATTTTCAATCGTAAATTAAAAATACGTCGAAAATAATCTTTTAAACATGTCGTTCAAGTACTTGAATGAGTTTACAAAAAAATTAAACGATACGCAACATGTGTACATATATTACGCGGAAAAGTCAACAACTGAAAGCTAATCGACCATTCACTGCGCTACATAAAACCATATGATTAAGCAAATTGTATACAAGAAACCAGGTCGCGCGATACGACAATAGAACGAAATCAATGGCGTAACAAGGACAATTCGAGACGTACTTTCCGCTTCGCGTTTCCTCGTATTATTTGTCGTGGAATTGGAATTGGTGTTAATCTGCGTTCCATTTGCAATCGCAGCACTCACCGCGGCAGCTGCTGCAGCTGCAGCGGCAGCCGCGTTCGCAGTTGCAGCAGCATTTTGTTGCGCGTTTTGCAAATAACTCGGATTCAACAACGACGTGAAATTTCGTGACTGATTCATGGCGTAGAACTTGTCGGGGATGTATTATACGCCGGAATTGCTGTGCGCTCACCAGCGCACCACTGTTTTTCTCCCAAAATCAACACAAGTTTACACACCACGAAAATGGCGAGGTTCAACTGACGGACACCTTTGCCTCTTTCATGGGCGTACCGGAGACGGATGCTGTCCTTCCGGCTAGAATTAATGAAGAAAATTCTCACTAGTTGGCGCTTTGATGAGTTTCGGAATACCTATGATTTTCACGCGAAATCCACACTAAGAAATTAGAAAAAATGTCCAATTACATTACAATAGTTTTTAATCACACGAATGCATATGATCATCTACATTTTGGGTAAAGTGATAACTTTTACTCATAACATACACTACTTGCGAAAAGAATTTTCATGCGTTCCTAAGTTAATCCAATTCTGAAATAATGTTACATCTCCTACTCAATATACTGTAGAATTACATTATATTCCGTTGAACCTGTAGGCGGTTTCCAACAATCGATCGAAACCATTTGATTGATATAAAATTCAATAAACTGCCAATCGGTATACTTTCCGGAAGTGGTGTATATGTGGATTTATCTAAATAGAATACATTTATTATTTTTCATTGGTCAGTTAATGCAGGTGACATATATTCACAGTTGGATCTCGTACGACTATTGGTTACGGGAGTACCGATATAACTGTTCAAATACCGATTTTCCAAATCCGTAAATTTATTTTCAACTTGCGTTCTTGCCACTTGTTAAATGTAAAGCTTGCATTCGATCTCTAGAGAGTACCGTAACGATCGAATAAGCTTAACATCTGTTGAAACGTGAAACACCGATTATATCCGGCTTTATTCAATCACAACAATGGAGTCGAAACGTTGTTGGACGCTCCGAAACGTGATGTAACGTTATGTGTGTAACGTCGAAGTCTATTCACATCGGCGTTGGAACACTGGCAGTGTCTACATTTGGTCGTTATGAACACTGTTTATATCTGATCGCCTGACAGCTGTTTAAAACTTCATTATGATGTGCATTGGATTATTTTTTACGAGCGTGAGAAACGCAGTATTCTTTGATCGTGTAAGGTTTCCGAATTAATTGATGATGAAACTACTGCGTGGTTTCAACGCGTCGCAACATGCAAGTGCCGCAGTTTGAATCGTACATTTCGAATGTTTTCCTCTATTATCATTAAGTGGAAAGCTACGGAATAATTCGCGGTATAATGGCAGCCCATAAGACAGGCGGGCAAAGTGCTCGAAAGAAAGTACAGGTACTTGTCCGTAATACTTTTTTTCTTCTTTCAAATATTTTGTCGTTGTTTTTCAAACTGTAATTGAATTCTTCTTAATTAAATGAAAGTTTCTCAGAAAAGTATCAGTTACGCTAAAATTTTGGTTAACGTTGGTATTCAGCATGTTAAAAAAGCCATATGACCATGTATGGAATAATAAAAACAGGTTGATCTATAATACTCTCAATATCTGTCGTTCGGTGCTATATGCAATTATTGATCAGTTTCGTAATTTTCGTAGAAAAACTTTGAACTCGGTAAATCACATAATTATCGACGTACGTTTACGACAAACAACATCGTAAATGATTTTTCACGCTTGTTTGTAAACTTGAAAAAAACGTGTTCTTGAAATATAGTATATCAGATCTTAATTTAATCTTCGTATTACCGAATCAAATTTATTGACGGAATTTATAAATAATATATGGATAATGCCACTTAGATGAACAGTAATTACTCTGTTATTTGGTGTACTTTTGTAAAGGTATCCATGGTTATAAGAGATGAAGTGGAAAAAAGGCACAGAGCTGGAATCAATTCATTGCAATATGACCCAGCTTTGAACAGGCTTTACTCTGCTGGTAGAGATAGTATTATAAGGATATGGAATTGCAAAAATATGAAGGATCCTTTTAATCAATCAATGGAGCATCATACAGACTGGGTCAATGATATAGTATTATGTTGTGGTGGTAAAAATTGTATGTATCTTCCTGTTATATTTCTAAGTTAATTTATTTGAATAGATGATATGATAGATTAAACTGTGATCATGTTCATTTGATGAGAAACCTGAATGAGAAGAAAAAATGTTTTACAGTGATATCAGCTAGTTCTGACACAACAGTAAAAGTATGGAATGCACATAAAGGTTTCTGTATGTCTACATTAAGGACACATAAAGACTATGTAAAAGCTCTAGCATATGCTAAAGATAGAGAGCAAGTTGCTAGTGCAGGTTTAGATAAGTTAATCTTTTTATGGGATGTGAATACATTAACTGCTCTTACAGCAAGCAACAATACAGTAACAAGTAAAGATACAGTCAATAATAAACTTTTTTAGTAATGTTTAAATATTGTTTACATAACATTTGAATATTTTACAGCATCATCTCTTAGTGGAAATAAAGACTCTATATATAGTCTTGCCATGAATCAGACTGGAACAATTATAGTGAGTGGTAGCACAGAAAAAGTTTTAAGAGTATGGGATCCAAGACATTGTACTAAACTAATGAAACTTCGTGGTCATATAGATAATATTAAAGCATTAGTATTAAACAGAGATGGTAGTCAGTGTCTATCTGCTAGTTCTGATGGAACAATTAAACTTTGGTCACTGGGACAGCAAAGATGTATCCAAACTTATAGAGTACATAAAGAAGGTGTTTGGGCATTGCTGGTAATTGCAAATTTTTCCCCTTGTATCAACATCTTATTGAAACACATGATCCAAGTGATTGTATTAAGCTAGAATAATCATTCTTAGGCAACAGATACCTTCAGTCATGTAATATCAGGAGGTAGGGACAAAAGAATTGTCATGACTGAATTATCCTGTTATCCTGAAAGGTATACAGTTATATGTGAAGAAAAAGCACCTGTGCTAAAAATGGTTATGACACCAGATCAATCTAGCATTTGGGTGGCAACTAGTGAATCTACTATAAATAATTGGGTAATGTTATATTTTTACTGTATGCAAGAGGAGAATGTATCAATAATAAAAAAAAAACATTGTAAAATTTATTACAGTCTATAAATCAAAAAGATTGGCAAGATTTAGGAATTGAAGACTATTGTGACTCTGCTAGTGGGGTAACTCCAAATGTAAGAAATACAGAACCTGCACAAAAAATATTAGGCGGCCCTGCAATACGGCGGTGCCATGTTTTAAATGACCGAAGGCATGTTTTAACAAAAGATACGGAAGAAAATGTAGCTCTATACGATGTATTAAAGGCATGTAAAGTGGAAGATCTAGGAAAAGTAGATTTTGAACAGGAGATAAAAAAAAGAAATAAAATGGTGTATGTTCCAAACTGGTTCAGTGTAGATCTTAAAACTGGGGTATGTAATTTTATAATTCATCAGAATAATTTTAGTTTTAATAATGAAAATAATCAAAATAACTTAAAATATTATATTCTTGTAGATGTTAACCATTCATTTAGGTCAAGACGAAAACGACTGTTTTTCTGCATGGGTTTCTGCAAAAGAAACTGGTCTTGCAGAAAATGATGCAGTAGACCAAAAAGGTAATACTCCTTTTACAGTAAATTTTATTTTATTTTTTACCCTTCTTTAAATGTTACTTTTCTTTTCAGTGAATTATGGGAATCTTTTATTACAAGCTTTACTTGAACATTGGTGGAGGCCGCTACACGTTGATGATGAAAATGAAGGGAACAGCAACGACGGTAATGGTTGTATACACACAAGAGGAGGAAATCCGTATTTCTCAGTTCCAATTCATACACCTGTAATATTCAGGTATGTCACAATTATTAGTGGCTTTCTTGTATAAAACAAAACTATTGTATGTTCTGTATTAACTGTCTTCAATAATAACAATAATGAAAATTCAATTTTACTTTAGTGAATTAGGAGGCAGACCTTTGTACAGATTGTTAGTCAGGGATGCTGCTGGAGAAATGGAAGGAGCTCTATTAAATGAAACTGTACCAGCATGGGTAGTTAATATTGTTGTGGACAAAAATCTTCCACAATTTATTAAAATATCTTTCTATCTTCTTCCGCATGCCACGTCCGGTGTAAAAAGTTTAAAGAAGTATGTTACGAAAGAACGATTATTATTGCAAATATTACATGAAATATTTACGCAACGTGCAATTTATACATATTTTTCAGGGATCGCTTAATCGCAAATGATTTTATACAAATTCGTAAAGTAGCGGAACACGTTTGCGATAAAGTACTTGGTGCAGGAAGTGACTCAGGGTCGGTAGCTGGTGCTGGAAATACAGTTTCTGGTGGATCTCCAGCAGGAGACAGAACAAATACAGATTCAAACGCTGATAATTCTTCGCTGGCCGAAGAAAAAGTAGAACTGTTATGTAACAACCAAGTTCTAGATCCTTCTATGGATTTGAGAACGGTATGTTTACTGAATTATATAATTTATAAAACAGCGTACAACTATGTTTATCGTTTATTTAAAACGATAAAATTATTAAATCATCCTTATTTTAACATATTTTAGGTCAGGCATTTTATCTGGAAGAGTTCAGCAGACTTAATACTTCACTATCGACCAGTAAAATAGTTAGGACTGAGTACGTCGGAACAAAGATCTCTAAAGTGTGCCTGGTTTCTTACTACTGTAAAGTAAGTAAATTTTTGTTACTCATTTTGTACATATTTAAGAATTAATACATGAAGCATATTACAGAAGAACGGAAGATGTGTGGACTAGTTGCAGAGTGTGGCAGCTCACACTACCTCCTTTTCATGAAATGTTCAATCGATTTTCACTGGATGTTTCATTAGATGCTGCAACCGAAGATGAGTAAAAACCAGGCCACGTAGAGAGTATTTAAAAATAAATGCGTTTAAAGGCAATAATGTGTGGAAGTATTAGTATAAATTGCTCATATTTGCATATTTATATCCTGCGGCCAAATTCAACCCTGCATCGCGAAATAGTAATTTCAGTTAGTCTGCTTTAAAAGATATATGGTTTTTTGTACTTGAGTGTGAAATGTTAAATGCTTACTGTCAGCCATTTATAGTCTTCCCAC